TTTCGTGAATCTTTTTAAATTGTATAATTTTAATTTAGTATCATTAGGTATCAAAATCCATTTTGTCTGAATACGGTCTTTCTCACTTATTTGTGTTGATTATTTTTCAATCAGAGAACAGGGAGTCGCGACTAATTATATATGTATATCAAAAAGTACTTTGTGAGCATAAATTTTACACCTTTGGTACATCATAACTTAAAAACTTAAGAACATTATTGAGCTTTGTGTCTATAACATCATATTTTGTTCACCACATTACTAGCTATATACATTATATGTGAAAACTAACTCATTTTACTTAAATTCTCCACATAATCAGTATACTAGCAAATTCTTGCTTTCAATTTGAATTTTGTCAATGAAATGGATAGGTCTCCTCGTTGATCACAAAATATCTAGTCTATTAAATATTGTTAATCACGTATGTTAAACGAAAATAAATTCTCGAACGACATATTGGTAGGCAGTGATTGAAATGAAAAATATTAGAAGTGCGATCAATATTCTGCTTTGAGAAAAGTTTCTTATTAAAATTTCTGGACGAACCAGAAAATTCTGATCATGTTAATCAGAATTTCAATTAATGCAACCAGGCTCTTTTTCTAGTGTGAGAACAGTATTATTAATAGACTTACATAATTTAATTGACAGCGATCGTATTTTATTATCACTTCGTCAGTGAGCCTAATGACTAAGTTTGTCGTTATGAATAATAATTTATTGTAATTACTTCGTTTCTAATCAGTTATGGCTTTTTTGTTGTTCTTACGGTTTACGAAACGATCACCTGTCAAACGCCTTGAAAGTTATGGTGATAAACCGATAAGCATGTAAATTTGTTCATACAAGTCATCGCGCATTCGGGTCGAATTGCAGCCACCTCGCGAAGTTACGATGTGCAAACTAGCACATGTTGTCTGAAATTTAAAAACATCGCGCAAGATATTCGTACGAAGCGTTTTATTATTTGTTGCTACGGAACATAAAGTACAATAAATCTAAAAGTAAAGTAACAGTGAAATTTTTATTTCTTCTCTGCGTTCTCGATTCGATATGTTTGAGAGGAATTCTCTAACACTGGATATCGAATAAAGTTATATGTAAATATGGTAAAAAAAATTGAATTTTTTGCACAAATAAAAAATATTTAGCAATTTCCGTTTCTTTGAAGAATTTTTTCATCTTTTTTTCTCATTTTTTTATCTTTATTTTTATTAATAGTTTCAATTTTTTTTCGCAACAACATTACTACGCTGTAACATCTGAGGGCTCAATCATGTAACCGAAACATGTCATGACTATAACGAATTTAATATATATATATTTTTATGTTTTGACTTAATTTTCATTTAAAACTTTGACTCTTACTGCTCTTTACATTTCTTTATATTGTGTTTTTAAAAAATATATTATAGGATATATTATACAGAGAAAAAACAATTTTGCTGAAATATTTAAAAATTAGCTTGATATAACTGAAAGTAATTTTGTCAAATTATCAAAATAATTATAAGCGTTCTTTAAAATTGTTAAAGTATCAAAATCTTTTGTAGTATTGCTCATCATGTTCATCATACAAGTATTGCTTCAGTTTCCTACGCAATTATTTTGATGATTTAACAAAATTATTTTTAATAATAGTAAATGAAAATTGACCAAAATATATTCACTAAATAAGCGAAAATCATATTCAGTCAAAGCCGATCTTGACGTCTAATAATATTTTTACATAAATTTTACAATTTTTACTTTGAACAAACTGCGCGTCGATTATTAAATGTTAAATTTTTTTGCAGTTTGTTATCAATGCTTAAGCGTTCTACATAATTATTTTGTGATAATTATTTTGACAGTCCAACGAAATTATTTCGAGATCTGTATCTTAGCATCTATTTAGATACTTCGGCAAAACTATTCTTTCCGTTTGCAAATACCTTTTTCTTTTGAATAACATGCTACATAAATTCAATAATCTACACAGAACGCGAAATATTATCAATGTAAATTCCTCTTCCTTACATATTATCAAACGAATCATATCTGTTTAATATATTTTCATGTTTTTGAAAGGTAATTCCTAGTAATTCTTGTAAGTAACTTGCTTTACTTGTTTTACTAGTTTAATTGCAGATTTAATTTTTATTCGCTAGTTAATCATCTTTGCGTTCAATAAAAGTAAAAGAAAGTACATATATATATACTGGATCAAGGTCTTGATACTGATAATATCCTCATTTATATTTATACAACTTGTATGATTTATGTCTCTGTACAAATAGCTTCAAGCATAATTTTTTTATATTCTCGTATGTACGTTTTATTACCGTTTAAAATTGATTTGTAATTTTATTTTTATTGACTATCTCACGCGTGCGATCTATATACAATCTCTATACAATTTGTGTGCTGTGTAACGGATTAATTCAGATATCGATAGCCAGATTGTGAGATCAACGGTCACGCTAAAAAAATGTATTTATACGAAGCGGAAAATTTCATCCATTACTTACAGAGGTTATCCTCAAAGATTACATGCAAGGACGGGAATATTTGAAATTTCTCTGATGCACGTAGGATAAACACAGTTATTAGTAATTGTTGTTTGAATGGATGCCAGTTGTAAGATCGTTTATGCCAACAGGGATGAGTCTTTACAACAGACGCGCGGTCTCAAATCTATTACGCGTGCGAAATCATTTGTTACTTCCGTTTAGGCTTTGAGTAAAGTGTCTTTGAAACATGTGTTCGCGCGGCGGCTGGCTTGAAATGCGTCGTAACATCCATTAATTGTAAATGATCTTGCACGAGCCACGTTTCGCATGATTGCCTTACGTGTTAACCATCGCCGCCAGTTTAGCTAACAAATCTAATGAGTTTATTTCTGCTCAGATTGCCAGTATCATTACTTATATTATTACGTTACTTATTTAAGAAAATTGAGACTTCTTGTACTATTTGATAGAAAATTAATTAAATTTCTGAGTACCGCAATGTGTATTCTTAAAAAAGAAGCATATTGCATTTTTTTTTATAGTATAGACATGTTTATTGTTAATTATGTAACCAACTTGTAGTCATTAATTGTAAAGCAGTAAAGGTTTAATGTAATAACCGAACATACAAAATCAGTTCCGTAGTATCCAGATGATATTTTATGAAATAATATCTTATTTGTAATAAGACCTTATCCTTGTGCTTATAACACTTAAACAGCGTAATATAATTCTCAAGAGACCATTTGGTTATCAACTAAATGCGTTTCTTTTTCTTGCACTTCCTATACAAGGACGGTGCTCTTCTTCATGTTAGGAGTAGCTGTTTAAAACCCGTCTGGTTCGCCACAAGTTATTACGTAGACCGTGGGCCGTCGCGTCTATAAGTTCGCGGTAAAACATTGAGATAAGGCCCAATTAGCTTATCAAAAAGGAAGGTAGTTAAGTCGAAAAACAAAAAGGAACGACGATGGTAATTATAGACCCGTGTCGAAGGGAAACGAAATCGACGAGAAGATAACCAGCAATTTTTACGCGCGTATACGACTATGTATTGTCATAAAACTCATAAATAATTTTTTGTAATGGTTTTCTACTACTTGTATTTAGTGCATGTCGTGAGTCATTTAACCTTGGCATGTCAGTGGTCTTTAGAAAAAACGACAAACAGATTATCCCAAGCCACACACGATAAAAATATGTGGAAACACTAAATATATCGTCGCGTTGACAGAAAAATGATACATCTTTAAATTTCAATAAATAGCAACTTTTCAGCAGATCATTTTTAACTCTTAATACACACGATTAGGTCATACTTGTCCCGTGCATTCTTTTCTTTGAAATACTGAGAGCATCTGGTTAAATAATTGGTCTCTATTCTTCTCGTTTTTTAAATACAATTTTATGAATATTTTTGAAAGATAAACTATATATGTATACGTAAGAATCACTTAATAATTTTGTATATTTGTAAAAGTAATGAAAAGTGATTAACCCGGGACATGATCAGCTTGTTGTACAAGTAGTAAGAAATCGAAAAATCATCGCGTATACTAAAAGTTCTACTTAAATTGGAGCAACGTCTTAATTAAGATAAATGTGCATGACTTTTTCTACGTGATGCTTTTAATTACATATATTTTTCAAAACTATGTCATAAGTTTTTAAAATTCAAACACTGCAACTTTAATACTAATTTTTATTTGTCTCACTTTTCTATCAACGTGGCGATATGTCCCGTTTTCTTGCGACGATCGAACGCCGGGTGGGTCGTTTGCCGTCGCTAGGCGTTGGAACGCGAAAAAAGGTGCGTGTGGATGGCGTTCTCCAGTGTCTCCTCCTCACCTCGATCCTCATTGGCGACGCAAACGACAAAAAAGTGTGAGAGCGACTGTAAAATTTACGAGACCTGACTTACTCTCACTTCGTTGCTCGTTCAACGCGAGCAAAACGTTTAACGATCATCGCGCGGTTGACTATCAACGAAGTACGACGATATTTACGACGACCGATTTTTTGGACGATACATTGTGGAGTAAGGAGTGGGTGTGCATGATGTGTCATCAACCGACGCGACCAGGCTTTCATATAAATAGTATTATATTTCACATTTCGTTACAATTCAATAAATATCTTCCAAATTTTATTTACATAGGCGGCGGAAATTGCGCGTGAGACTTAAGAGAGAAACGATTAATCCTCTAACCGTAGTCGCGATCACAAAAACTACAGAACGAACATACTAATCAGCACATGTTGAGAAAACCTTATTAAAACTGATTAGTCGCGTCAACTCTTTAAGTGTCGATATGGCAGTGTTTGCAGTCTTATAGGCTAAAAAGAATTCACATTACGAACTTTAAAATAAAAGATATCAACAAATTAAAAAATGATTAAAGAACATTATAAGAAATACTTTTCGTTATTTAAAAACTCTACCTTTAAACATCAGAGATTTGAAAAATTTTAAAGAGTTAATCGCGGAGAACAATAGATTTTTCGCTCGATAGTAAGATTTCTGTACTACTGGTTAAAGGTTGTTTCACGCGCATTGTTATAGCGTTGCAAACCGCCGTTGCAACGAATTGAATGATAAATTTTTTGCAGCTATAATATATTTACTTTATTTCGCGCCGACAATAGAAATGAAATCTATCTCTAACGTTGAAGAGATTATTTATGGCACTAATTCGATCGTCTGCGAGTCAATCACGTGTTCACCAAACATCACATACGCGTATAATAAATCTCGTGAGAATTGATTCTAGCACACACTAAGTATCTTCGGAAAACATCGACAACATGTGTGATCTTCAGATCTGCGAAATCCAGGAAATTACAGATCTTCCCGATGACTCGGCAGTTGAATGACAGGAATCAAAAGTTTTTCTTAAGCTCGAGAGTTCGTCTCACGTCACTATTCTCTAATCCATGATGATTCTCGCGTAGTCCTTGCACGGTCATTATATGATTAGACTTGTATCTTACTCGCGCGTCGAAGTCTTCCGACGGTGCAGTTACAGGAACGTGTGACAAGATTTGCGAGATCAGTTGACGAATCATACAATGATAAGCCATGACAGCTATGCTGCTGATCACTACAGTTTCTCCAGCGCGCGACTGTTTGTCAGCAACTCCCTGGTGAGTCTCCACACTTGTTTCGCGGCGTTCTCCAGACCACTGGGAGATTTTCCTTTGAACAGATCAAGATTAGGTAGGAAGTAATGTGGGCATCTTCGACACTGCAGACAGGAGATTAGTTGCAGAAATATGCCGTTTATTCGCTCGGCCAGGCAACCTTCGTCCCATTCCGCCTCATGCGGATGTTTCTCGCACTCATACAGTAATAGGGTTTTCATGTGGTAGCTGGTGACTGGATTTCCTGGTAGGTCGAGATGCCGGTCTCTGAGAGTCTTCAGTATACTGAGGCAACGCCTCCTACTTGCGCCTTGTAACAATCGATTTTCCGCGTCGATAAACGACAACGCCCAAGCGTCACCCTCCATAGCGGACTGTTTGCCCTGTAGGCCTATGCATTCCTTCGAGAGCATATCGAAACCTTCCGCTTTCACCTCGGCGACGATGTTCGGATGAGGCCAGGGTATGTGTGCAATCGGCCAATGGGAGGCTGACCTGGGCCAAAGTCCAGCGCACTTAAAAGCCGGCGTAATCTGTACGACATATCGCTCGCGTATCCGTAGTTTCACCTCGGTCGTGTCGGCTATCATCTTCACTGAATCCCGATACGTGCACTTGTCGCAGGCCTGCGCCACTAGGGTCTGAAACCTCGAGCGTATCTTCCTGGCTGACAGGTAACCGGACGCGGTGATGAATTCTACCCAGAGGGACATGGATCTCTTGCGTCCGTCGCTGAGCTTCAGCACGGCGCAGCCCGGCAGGGTGCCGTCATCCACAAAGTTCAACACGCCCATCTGATTCAGATAGATGACGATTTCGAACTCCGTTGGTGAGATAACGTCGAGGCCGTCGAACCGGCCGTTGTAATCCGTCAAGGACGAGATGAATCTCGGCTCCTGCACCTCCACCTCTTTTAGCACATCCTGCACGACTCGACACACCTCCTGAATGGTCTTCGCCACCTGACTCTTTCTATTCATCACTCGTTCGCCAAAGTACTTGTTGAACTGATAGACCATCCTGGAGTGGGACGAAATCATATCAGGCGGTACCAACATCGTGCACCGCCTGTAGTCCACGGATGGTTGTTATATAGTTTTCAGCTTCTCCGGTTCATTCTTGTTTTTTCCTATCCAGATCTTTTCCTTTGCTTCGCGTTGTCATCGAGACGCCTTACGCGATCTACCGCATTGTGGAAAAACACGGTATTCGATTGCTCGACGTTTGTCTTCGTTAGATTTGTTTTCCACCTGGTGTTCGCCAGGACTGCGCGCGTTGGAGACACCAACGAAGCGTGAGGAAGAGGTATCACGAGCGTCTCCGTGCAGGAGCAGATTGCCGACTGCGCTCATGTCTACCTCCTCCGCGTCACCCATCCTCCACGGCGGGCACGAACGTACAGCGTTGCTGGCACGCCTCCTCTGCTAGATTACGCCTTCTGGTAAGGTTTTGTAGCCAATCCGAGGTCTGCCACACTGTACGGGCGTGGTTAACTGCGCCAGACCTACAAGATCGATCCGGTACGGATACTTCAGCAGCGTTCGTGTATAATGTGTACGATAGGGGAACGAAGGTAACGCGAGGCAACCCTCGTGGTAGCCCTTCTTCCTCCCATGAATTATGCAGGGACTGCTTAGTTTATTTCCCATCCACGAGGGCATGGTACCTCCTCTGCAGCTCCTTTAGTTATTCCGAAATTTTCGACATGGTGGACCACAACAGTCTGTACTACTGGATAGAGTTACTTCGAATTCCTCTTCAAATGTCAGATATTTTATCTTCATAAGATTAGTTATGGAAGTTAATGGACCATAATAATCATTCTTGATTGATCAGCTCATAGGATTAAGTTTATCGATAAATGTCCTCTTTTCGGAGCATAAATTAATTTAAGTATGTTTAGATGCAATCAAATTATTTTATCTTCAAAGCGTTGACATTGGAAATCAATTATTATAATAAATTTATTGGATTAGAATGATTGAAAAATATTTTTTTTCTTTTGGAGATAGCATAAATAAATTTAAATATTGTTAAATGCGGATAAATCGATTGGAAAATAATTAATGTTTTTATTTCTAAAAAATAGGAATAATTATAATTTTTATGACAATATCAATTGCAATAAAAAAAAACATTGCTAGCATTTATAAAGCAATTGCAGCATCTAATTGTTATTTCTATATCGCTTCATGAAACATGAAAAAAGGGAGAATGTTCTTTAATAAAGAAAACTAAAAAGTATAAAATAATTTTATAGCATCTTAATACATCTTATAATGATAAAAACATTGCAATTTCTTGTAGTGAAAAATGTAATTTGAGATTCTACAGTCAACAGAAATCTTTACTGTTCGTGTTAGAGTGCAATAACAATTATCATACGCATTTGGAAATGGTCGAAGGCGTAGTAAAGCGAGAAAAGTGAATGGCACCGGTTAACAAATGTCATCACCAGGAAAGGAAGATGCGGAACGTTAAGGATAAAATTAAGATAAGAACGTGATATTCTAGGTAGGCTTATAATGAAGTTGATGGTCTTCGCCTCGGCTGCCAGCGAGTCATTCAAGGCTTCTATAACATACGTGTTAAATGCAGGTATTCGGCATAATAATTGTATAGTACATGCGTATCACAATCGGATATACAACACATTAAAACAAATATATTCCTGTAAGAGAAAACCTACTCTGCTGAAAGTTAATTAGTAAAGATACGATCATATTTTAATATTGCATGTTACGAAACGTGAAATTTACGAACCAAATTACATTTAGCAATTCTCATAAAAATAAATTTGTAAAGTTAAGCAATGTTTAATATATTGCAAAAATATAATATTTTATACATTATATATAAAAATAGTATTTTTATGGCAAAAATAATTGATACGAAACATAATTAGTTAAATAATAAATGTGTATTTAAAAACATAATGAATAAGATCGCATACTTTTAAAGAGATCTTAAGATAGGATAACCTTTTTTTCAAAGTAAATATAATATAATAAATGTTCAATGGAAGAGAGAAATTAATGCGTTTATTCGTTATGTACATTTCATGTGTTTTAAATATATAATATATATAATGATACGATTATAAAATAAATATTATTTAAATAATATAAAAGAAGTATGTATACTACATATATACATATAACAATAAGTAATGAAACTCTACTGTCGGAAGCTTCGTGCTAACCGATTATAAATATCAATCAATAAGAATAACAAATCACATTTTGCTTGAGGACGAAGAAATAATTATAATAGTATTTAATTAAAACGTATTACACATTTTATATGTTTAATATGGTTTTTAAACGATCTAGAATATGAAAATGACTTTGTTTCATTAAGACTTAAAGTGTGAAAATTCACTCGCTAATACAGTTTCATACGGAGTGTCATTAAAATCTTTTAAAGAACATTATGTCTTCAGAGAATCTACCTTTTATCTTATTGCTATTATAATTCCGGTACTTCGTTGTTTTATAATTGAGAGATGGAGCAGTTATTATTGCACTAAACAATTATATGAAATATTCTACATTATATATGTTTTAACAAAATTAATTACACAACGTATCCATTGCATAACGTTTCACAATATATAACTATCGAGAATGCCATACTTAGCACTTAACTAGTCGCATGGATATTATAAGTTTAATTGCTGTGACATTACTTATCTTACAGCAATTTACGTCATTTAAAGTGAGACTTTAATATAATGATTACAGAGGAACAATATATAAATAATTAAAGTATAATAATAAACTTTTATTTTGTGGCATATATGTTTAAGTAGGTTAGTCGATCGTATACTTTTCGTTTTTTTTCCTTTACGTTTCTATAAATTGTGTAAATTTTATCCCCCCAATTTTATAGAATTATTTCCATCTACTCGTGAGGAGTGAGGATATTATTCGACAATTGATCAGTAAATAAATATCGGTTAGTTAGCTAAAACATAAACTTGAACTTATTTTATTTAATAGACGGAATTTGTACAACACGACACACACACTTGTATAAATATAATTAATTTTCAAACAATAGCTATGCGTATAAAAGAACTATGGATAGATTTGTAATTAATATAACTGTTTGATTACCATGCGACTGCTTAAATGTTAAAAAGAAAACCTGAGTTATCTATTATCATTATTGCTCGTTGAATTACGATTGTTATTGAAGGAAAACGAGCACAATATAAAGCTTGTTCTACAACAGAATCGTAAGCCGTAAAAAATTAACCAATCATAGTCAATTATTTTTCATATTTAACTATGATTGGTCAATTTCTTACGGCTTACAGTTTGCTACTTGTATTAGAACAGACTTTAAACGGTTTACGTGTCGAGAATCATTTGTAACAATGTACCAAGCCCTTGATATAAGCGTGTATTAAATAATAACAGTAACTACAATACTGTTCGCGTGTAGTATCGGAGAAGCATGTAATACCATGCGGTAGAAACGTTCTCAAAATCGTGTCACACGAGTCATCGTTTCTCTGTCTTCATCGTCCCGCGCGTTCTCGTGCTTTCGAGCAGGAGAACGCTAAAGCTTTTCCAATGCGCGGCTGTTCGTAAGCAGCTCCCTTGTAAGTCTCCAAACTTGCTTCGCAGCATTTTCAAGACCGCTAGGTGACTTTCCCTTAAATAAATCGAGATTCGGCAGGAAGTAGTGCGGACACCGCCGACACTGTAAGCAAGATATCAGCTGCAGGAAGATGCCGTTAATACGATCGGCCAAGCAACTCTCGTCCCATTCGGTCTCAAGGGGATGTTTCTCGCACTCGTGTAGCAGCAGCGTCTTCATGTGGTAGCTGGTAACGGGATTTCCTGGCAGATCGAGATGTCGATCCCTCAGGGTTTTGAGTATACTGAGACACTTTCGGCGACAACCGCCCTGCAACAGCCTGGTTTCCGCTTCCGTGAAGGACAAGACCCAGGCGTCGCCCTCCATTGCCGACTGCTTGCCTTGAAGCGCGACGCTTTCCTTCGACAACAGATCGAAGCCCTCCGTCTTGACTTCCGCCACCAGATTGGGATGCGGCCAAGGTATGTGTGGTATCGGCCAATGAGCGGCAGAGCGCGGCCACACGCCGGAACACTTGAATGCCGGCGTGATCTGCACGACGTACCGTTCCCGTATCCGTAGCTTCACTTCGGTGGTGTCGGCGATCATCTTTACCGAGTCCCTGTAGTTACACTTGTCACAGGCCTGCGCTACCAGAGTCTGAAACCTGGAGCGTATTTTTCTGGCCGACAGATAGCCAGACGCGGTGATAAATTCAACCCAGAGGGACATGGATCTCTTGCGTCCGTCGCTGAGCTTCAACACGGCGCAGCCCGGCAGGGTGCCGTCGTCAACAAAGTTGAAAACTCCCATCTGGTTCAGGTAGAGGACCACCTCGAATTCACCCGGTGAGATCACTTCGAGGCCCTCAAAGCGGCCGTTACACTCGGTCAACGAAGAGATGAAGCGTGGCTCCTGCACTTCGACCTCCTTGAGTACGTCCTGGACGACCTTGCACACCTCCCGTATGGTTTTTTGCACCTGGCCCATGCGTGCCTGTACCCGTTCGGCGTAGTACTTGTTCATCTGGTACAGCATCTTCGATGGACCACCCATGATATCTTGTGGAACCAACATCATGACGAGACAGTCTGCTTTCGACGATTCTGAGGATGTTCACTCGCTTCAAGCGAACGAGTCTCATTTTCTCATGCGCATATTCACTCACTAATCATGTCATTGGTGTCGTTATTGTTATCGTCAATCGTTTTCCCGTGCATGATTCCGATGGCACCCGGGCGATCACGCTATGTCGATGTCGCCCCGATTTTCGGGTCGGGGGGAAGGCACTGCTCAAAATTTGCAGTCTCAAAAAAAGGTTGCCCGAAACGGGTTACGGATGACGAACCGTGCGTGCCTAATCGCGCGGCAGGTGTACGTGCAACGAGCGCAGCTCGAGGTGTCCCGCGCGCGCGACGACAGAGAAAACGTCGCTGACCACCGGCTGGTTCTACTGCTTGTTGTAGTTGTGTGCTCCGTTGCTGAAGTCCCGCCTTCCAAACGACAGGGTCACGTGGAGCGTGCGCGTTGTTACCACGCCTCTCGTCGTTCCTCCTCCACTATTCCTCTTGCCACTCGTGGTACCATCGCTATTGATGGGTAGCGATAAGCTATGCGATTTAAGGAGCTCTATGACATTCCATTACTAGTGATACTTGGAATGTTTTCCGGCAATATTTCTATTTAGACATACTCTTTTTAAAAAAATTTTTGAGTAATTTTTGTTGAAATTTTTAATAAACTATGAAACATAGAAATATATAGCATATCAATATTAATAATAAGACATATTGCTTGCAATGTGAATTTTTATTTGGCCATATTTATCCTAAGATTTTTATGGGAAGTTTTCTAAAGAATTTTTTCAGGAGATTCAAGCAAATGGATGACTAGTTTGCTCGATTCCATAGCACGATAATCCCAAACATAACTAAATGAATAGATACGATAACGTTCTGTTGAAAGGAACATTTGAATATTGGACGTTGACATAAAAGGCGACAACGCTTCCCGAACATTGCCGAACGCAAATATGGAGCTTCAATCTTGATGGTACACGCGCACAGATACACACATCGTAGAGGCAGGTGTGCGCAACGAAAAATAGCTTACAAACACGAGATACTGGAGCCTCCCTTTTATAATACAATCGTAAAAACTCACGCTACATAAATATCCACCAAAGAATACCGATCGACCAGGCGGATTGCAAGATTGTGCCGATTAGAGACCTCTATCCTTAGACCATATCTTTGATCATCATCGTTCTTTACCCGCTTGATCGTTTCAACTCTTTGCAATGGAATAGAAAATATTATCAGTACATAGTATTTCGTTGTAAATATATTGCTATTAATTTTCAATATTATTAAGAAAATTTGAGATATCTCTGTCTGTGACCTTAGACTTCTGTAAGTTACACTTAACTGCTAATGTCTAGCGAATTTACAAAATATGAAGTTATCCTCTAGGATACATGCAGTGTGTAAAAATATGTGCAATTTAATCTAAATAAATAAAAGATAATATTATTGATTTTGTTATAATATTACAAAAATATTAAAAAGTGTCCATAATGTGTTCCATATTTGATTATTTGTTGAAGTTTTACATCCCGTATATCTTTCACTTATTTCAAAAGTGACACAACTAAAAAAAATGTGGCCTTCGAGTTATTATTATCTATGAACGAGGTACAGATTACTCAATCATCAAAAGTTTATAATTCGTTTGCCAAACAGCATTAATGTCGGTCTTTAAAAAAAAAAAGGTTTTTAAAAAACTTTTTATAATAGACACATTTTGATTTGTGCCATTTTTGTAAATAAAAAAAGAGCTTTCTTTCTCAGTCTAGCATAACTCTTAGCATTTTTCATGATGATTTAATTATTAATATCCTAATCATCGGAAATCTAATTCTTTATTTCCAAATACTGGGGAAAATGGTAGCATCTTTTGATCTTTTTATTTCGTTTATACTTCGTTACGCCGTCCATCACTGTCCATCTTGTTGTTTATGCTCCGATTGCCAAAGCTACGGAGCGAAACAGCGGGTTATGTTAGAGAGATGCGCCATGTTCAATTCGTGCTTCTCGCTCGTGGATAATCGAATAAAGCTCGAGAATCTAATCTACTTCAAGTTGGAGTGGTAGATTGGTACCCGGCGGTCCCTACTTCTCTCTCGCTAATACGACTTGATTCATGAGCCGAGCACGTGTGTCGTACTCGCGATCTCTCTCTGTCTCGCTTTCCTCGTTTCGTTCACCCATCTTGCGTTGGTGAGGCGAGGGGTCAAACGTTCTGCTACATCAGCCCTCGCATTAAGGCAGAACTTGGGGGCTCCTGCCGCCCTAAATGTGCCTTTCATCATCCCATTTCGAGTTAATTCGTTTATCATCTGAATTATTTGTACACCCACGTTCTCGCGACCTGGTTCAGAAAATGACACTCTTGAGAAATTAGCGTTCACTCGGAAGCTGCTGAAGAAGCTACGAGAAAAATCAAATGAAACATCCCCAAATCGAAATTACACATTGAAAAAGTTTAGTTATAATTAATGCTGTAAAAAGTTTTGATATTCTAGCAACTAGAGCATCCTACATAATAATAATTATTTTGTTGGTCTAACAAACTTCAGATCTATATCTAGCTAAGTTTTCAGATACTTTAACAAAACCGTCCTTTCTGTATAGTAATACTAAATAATACATTAATAAGCTAGTTAAATATATATACCTACTAGACTTTTTATCAGTAAATTCCCCTAAACAAATTTATTAATACAATAATATTATTTGCTTCAGAAAAATTAAAATTAAAATTACGAAATTCATGTATTGTTGCTAGCGCATTGTTTTTGTCATGAATAGAAAAATAACTTGAACCAATCAATGCTGCATGCCAAAATATTTCGTCCGACATTACAATACGATAGGCACAAAAGGCACCTTTAGTTGTTATTGCATATATAGATTCTCCTGTTTTCATTGTGTAACATTTCTATCGAGGATCGTGACGTATCTTTTGGGGCGACCACTCCGGTTTATGCAGACGGCACGCCGAGTCGGCCTTGTAAATCAGCTCGAATGAACATCCCCGCGTAATCCTCAAGTAATCCGGGACCCGTTCGTTGAGCTTCGGCAGCCGGTAGAGAAGCGGTGGCCATGGAGTACGTATTTCACGGTTTCTTTGTCAAATGGCACGGAAAATATAAATCGTCCCTGTCGGGATTCCATCTCGAAGAAATTGCGTCCCGATCGTTACGTAAATCTGTTACTACGAAAACCATTTGCTGAATCGAACGATCGAAAATAAAATAAAATTCTATTCCATTTAAATAATGAACACTTTTGTCAATATTTAATACTTTTATTATTTAAATAATAATACTTTTTATTAAAGATATAATAAGAAAATATCGATTTTGTATCCGATCACGTTATTACGAGTTGTCTCGAATTTATATTTGAAACAGCCGAAAGTTAAATAACAATTAAAGGCCGATCCTTTAAAACGGAATTATATTAATAGCAGCAGTAACTGATGTTCTTATCTCTTTAGTATTCATAGACTACTAGTTTAGACGAGCCATTTAACGCGACAGACGGCCTGTTCGCATCTGTTACCGGAAACAGGTCGTATTATTTACTGTTTTATGATAGCTGAAAAACCCGTGGCACGGGTTAATTGAATGGAAAAACATCGTTCTCTTTCCGCTGTCTATTGACGATTGTCATTAGTTCGGGCAGCTTTGTCGATTTATTGCCACCACGTAATATCATGTTTCGTGCCCGTCGGCGCTTTTCTCGTTACGCACGTCAGATATATGCATTTTCGGATAATTTCTTTTTTTCGTTCGCGCAGCAGCAAATTTAGTGGAACACGAGACGAGTCACGCTGCGCGGCCGCCCTTTGTGCGTTACGCACGGTGCGTTATCTCTCGCGATGCTGCGGTAATAAAGGTATGAGAACACGCACGTGGCACACATAATTCATCGCTGCTTGGGATCGCCGCGATAACACCCGACTGTTTGGAACATTAGCTGACACATCCACGGAAACAGACGCTGCGCCGCTTGTTTCCGTCAGTGTGGCAACCTTACGATCATTCTGTATCAGATTTCATAAAATTATTTTTTATCATTATTTTTTAGCAATAGTAAATCATACAAATTTATGTCTTGCCCTCCCATCCTTCTAAAGCATTAAAAGATTCAACCATTTAGAATACAAACAAAAAAAAATTAAATATCCTGTTAGATGAAGATACAATTTTTCGTTCTTATCATGTGTCATTTTATTCAATGAACCTAAACTATTGATAAATAGATTTATTATTGTGTATATATTTATTTATTTATTTATTTAACCTTAGTTAAAATTCACTAGGAAATTTTCTAGTATTTGCGAGCCTAGTGTACTTTAAATTAATGTATCTTTACTTAAAGTTAATGTAATCGAACGATCTTCTTTTTAATTTAAAGATTGAAATCCAAATAATAAAATCATGTAGGGTTGTAAAAAAACATTGATTATAATTTTTCAGAAATGAAAAGAGTCGGATCCATTATATTCACGAGTATCAATTAAGGTTAATTTATTGATGAAAACAATGAAATTTATGTACGAAGAATTACTCCTTCGATGAATAACTAAGACGTATGCAAGCATTTTTTACCAGTCGTTCGTACACTACTTCACTATGCCGTTTGTATTGTCGTATCGTGATTTCGAAAGAACCGTCATCCGAAACGCAGGGAGGCTGCTCATAGGTGTCCAAGTGAACCCGATGAGCAAGCAGCGGGTCCATTATTGTCCGGTACTTAATCTGTTTGTTGTATACCGCCGGCGGGCTGCTAAGTGGTATCCCATTCTATGGTATCCCTACGTTGCATATATAGAGCCAGCCTGCGACGGCGGGGGGAAACCCTCTTGCGAACACGACACATGTTGTTACATCACATCGCCCATTGTCGCGGCGTAACCCCGGCGCTCCGCTGAGTCGAGACGGTTTCGGTTGGTGAGAGATGAGCACAGAGAGCATCATGGGGAGTTCTAATCGCGTACCACTTGACACTCAGCGGCCAGGACCTCTCTTTAACCGCGTGTGGTCTTCACCACCCAGTCGCTGGCTCGCGTCGTGACGTGTAAACGTATTATTTTTACGTCCCACCGGTACGATTTGTGGCTTGACGACATCTCGAATAGAGTTCTTGGAGATGAATATACTACATGTGCACATAACTGATGTATTATATCTCAGAACTCAGAAGTATCTCGCGCATTACTCCTCTGAATAATTATACAAATATATAAAAAATATTTTTTAAGGGAAAAAGATCGAATATACGGAAAGAATGATTCGTAGAAGTGGCTATAAATATTTAGCCAGATATATTTAAAAATAAATTTGTTAAAGCAATCAAAATATAAGAAACTCAAGCATGATGATCAGTGTTGCAAAAATTGTTGACAAATTCTAGCAACTAGCTTGAGCATCTAACAGGTATAATAATTTAATATGTCTTTCAACATATTATTAAGATCCAATTTAGATGCTATAAGCATCAAAAATTGTGATATTACTACGGTAGTTGGTTAGATTTGCGTTTTAAGTTCGACGGATGTTCGGCGCGCTATGGGGGGGAATTACTTACGTAGTATATAAAATTCACTCTTTAACATGAATCATATATTTTATATATGATTGCACTAATAACAGCGAATAGCTCTCATTAACCGTTATATTCTTGTTATTTGAAACTTTCGAGAGTTTTCTTTAATTGATTTGTTAAGTATAATAATTATTTTGATAGTTCAATGAAAATTATACTTTCAGGTTTGCGCTTATCTAAATTTTTTAATACATCAATAAAACCGTTTTCCTGTGTAGTAAGCATTAATAAAATATATATACATATAAGTGTCTTGTTAGAGATTTATGTCTCTCTTTAAATATATATTATAATATTATTTTATCGGCAAAATATAAATTTATATGTATCAATTATAAATATCAATTATTCTTTCTTTTTTTCTTTAAGTATAAAAACATTGCAAATACTATATATATAACTTATTAAAAGTTATTTAATATAATTCTATTATAATCGTGTGAATATATTCTCTAAATTTTTTAGAGTGAAATTTTACTCCGAAAAGTAAAAATTGTGCCGTCTTAAAAAAGGGTAGCTTAATTTCCAATTTTTAGGAATAAGATTTTACTCTTTAGAAAGAAATTTACTCCAAACGTTTTAGAAAATAATAAGATGTAGCTACATTTCATTAAAGAATTATCGATTAATGTAACAAAGAGGGGCTCTACGTTACGAACAATACAAGCCGTATTTCTTTGTACGCAAAGGGATGATTAAACAACAATGAATGAGCCCATCTAATCCTTGACAAGATTTAATGCGGAATACGTGATATATCTGTACTGCTGCCGCAGGTATCCAAATAATGGATTCTGAGACGCGGTGCGGCTCTTATCAATCTCGAGCAGTGTTTGCGGAGAGCTTGCGCAGATCGTTGTAGGGGTTGGCTCTGTGCGTTCGTAGCGTTCGCACCCGGGCTGGCTTCTACCTTGCACGTTATGTTCATCATACATATATCAGATCACTGTGTAACTTAAAGTTGTAAAAAGAAATTTAAAAAAAATACATTGCTTAAGCTTATTGAAAAATAAATACTTGTGTAATGTAAACATATCGTTCCTTATAAAAACATGTGATTTTTATTATCATGAATGTGTTAAATAAATTTTAACAATTTTACTTAATTCATCCATAGTGATAACTTAAAAATTATTTATTTTTATAGTTGTGTTACTTTTGAAGTAAGGGAGCGATATTATTTCTCTTTTACAATACGAGTAAGTGCAAAACATTTCTATATCTACTGTGCACTAATACTTCTTATGCTCGTATTTGTCGACAATTATTTCTTTTCGTTATAAGTGACATTTATGATCTCTAAAGATTTTAGAACCGCTTACTTTTTACAATTTTTACATGCGTGCAGCACATCATTAACGTTTAACGCATACATCTAATAATTTAAAACACATTCCGATATTTTTCCTCTTTTTATTTATTAATAAAATTGATATTTCTCTTTTTTTTTTGCACGTTTGGCATCAAGAGATTGTCATCATGCAAATAATTCACTTCGACGATTTGTCGCGATAACATTTTCGTGGAAATGTTACAAAATAAAATAATAGATACAGAAATAATAGATTTAAAAATTGTATTATATTTTTTATTTTTTACTGATAAACTATCTTTTATTAATTATTTAGAACATACAATTGTACTTATTAGAATTAAAATCAAATAAAATGTCAACCATTTCGGCTTTTTAAAATTTAATAATTGTCTTGTTAAGAAAATTTAACATTTATTTCTTTCTTTTATAATTTATATGTATAATTATAGCTTCTATGTGTGATTTGTTCGTAATCATTAAAGTCTTCTATTACTATAAAATTATTGAAATGCTAGCAAAAAATATTTCATTACTCGACTTAAGAGTGACTAAACATGCTTTCAAAGAATAAGTGAAATAATTATATGAACGCTAAGGTGTCTTCAAGTACCGATGTCGATAAGTTGAACTTGGTTACACTTATACCGTTTACAGTACTCACATTTTTATCGGCAAAACGGTTTTAACAAACGAAGAGGATCGTAGATAAGATTTTATTGGCATTTCTGACCACAAGCCTCGAACATAATCAAATGAATGGATCATTTCGAAGGATTATTTCGAGGATAATTTCATTCGCCGTCCGTAAAGACATCGCGGTGCTACGATACGTCCTCATTAAAAGGCAAAAATTGAAGGCCTTGTTAAATGCGGGGTGGTAAATCCGGGATCCCTCATTTTATTTCTCCTTCTACCCCCCTTCTTTCTTATGCGGTGTACGCCGGATCTTTTTCCCGTCCACCCTGCACACTCTCGCTGAATCTCGGTCTTTTTGTTCTCCACCTCTCCCTCTTTCGCCAACGAGTTGTTCACGACTCGTCCGAGAGCGCAAGTCCACGAGGTCCTGGGATCGATTCTCGGCTCAGCAGGAGGCTCCTCCTACCATGACGGCCATCTTGCAACCGGCACTAGTCTCACTATATCACATCACACTTCACTGCATCGCTGTTGCATTCTTATATTCAGCCATGCGCTCATATCCTCGGACCATCCCGCTTTGGACCTCAATGGGGCATTTTCCTTACGATGTTGGAGAAAATGTTTATTTAATTATTAATGTAAAAGGTATCTTTTACCCATTGCGATAAATAATCGAGAAAGTATAAACATTCTTTGAAATTTAGCAACTTATATAAAAATGATAATAGATAAAATAATAATAGTTTGAAATTAATCAAAGGATGTCTGTTGAAATATGTAAGTTTTTCTTCATAATTTCATATTTATGAAGAAAAATAATTAGGAATAAAAATCTAGGATTATATAAAATAAGTAAATAATACTATATTACAATTCTATAAATAATATTATATATAAGTTCAAACAATACAGAAGCAACATTGCTGTAACATTTGCAATGTTGGAATGATCAGTGCTGAATGAGAGTGTTATTTGATAATTGTATGATATTCTTTTAACACACAGATGTGAAAAGATTGATAAAAAGAGCGCATTTCTAATTTATGTTTCAGGTGCTGAAGTACTGCGATCATTTGCACGGAAAATGGTACTTCTCCGAAATCCGCGCGATCTTCTCCCGGCGTTACCTGCTGCAAAATGTGGCCCTCGAAATCTTCCTTGCGAGCAGAAGTAAGTGCTGACAATTTTTTTCGTTTGTCCATCCTCAATCAGTGCACCGCTTTTGGACGAGAGCGCATTCAGTTTCTTGTTAACGCCCCGAGTTCCTTTCCTTTCGCGTTATTTTACGCGGCAAGGATCCGATCTAATCCTGCGAACGGAATCTCGAACTCGCCACAAGGTGTTGCACGCGCGCGTTCGTTTTTACATAATAAATATCTTGCCCGCATTACACTTTTGTCTCTTTCTAAATCAATTTATTATTCAATCCCGCGGGCGCACCTGCAGTTATTGCTGTACTTCATCCCGTAGCGTTATATTGTAATTGTAATATACGGTATATATATCTTTGATAATTTTACATTTCCGTAAGGCATAAATAATGCTGTTTTTAATTGAGAATCAATATAAAATCGTATTAATTGAAATACATTGATTTCGTTTTAATTTAATGTCAAGCAGTCAAATCGAAATTTTATACATATCATATTAATGTCTCGCTCGTGTAATTGCCAATAATAACGTTTTTGTTAACAATTGTTGCTTTTTTGTTTATCCGAGGATTGTTATTTCCTATAACAAACCGCGCGAAAGAATTATTTATACCTACCTGCCTTGGACCACTATCCCGCTGATTATTTCTCCGGGGCGCAGATAAATTCCCAGGTATCCCCCGATTCTAATCTGATCTTGACTTTCGATGCGTCGTCGTGAGGAGACGTTAGCGGTGGAATGTCATCCCTGCGAGGTGCCTTCGCCGTTCATTAAAAAAATCACCGGAGACGCGCGTTCGTTAGCCGAAAAACGCTGGGGAACATGCATGGATTGCTTCTCCTCTCGCGATAAATCGTGAAACAATAAAAACTAAGAATGAGTAAGATGAGTTACTTTATAACGGGACCACGGTGTAACTTTCGGTCATCGGGCTGCATGCTTTACGTTACGGTCATCTGAAATTACCTTTTTGTTATTGAATATAGCAGTTAATTCTGCAAGACGTTAGTCCTCTCACGATTACCGCTTCTTGACACGCTACCTTAAACCCTCGCGTCATTTACATGATTGGTCGTTGCAAATGCCGTCGCGGATAAGGGTGGTTTCTGTGAGTAAGTGATTACTGCAGCATCTGCTTACTATTAGCAGCGTGTGAATGCTCATAATTAGAAAATTAGCAATGTGCTCGTACCAGCATGAATCCAAAGAAAAACGTGAAACAGCTGGACAGACTGTACGTTGCCGTATGCGTAATAAATATGTATGCGTAATTAGTATATTATATTACAAAAGATAAATTGATCAAGAATGTCAATTTATATTATTTGGAAAGATGTTCATATACAGTAAAAAATATTTTGTATTTGTATTAAAACTAGTTCTTGTTAAAACTATTGTATAACTTAAAAGATTGTAAAGTATAAGAACGTTTAACTATGTTTTATTTGCATACGTATAGAAGTAAAACCTATACGATCAAATTTCTCTTTTCTCTTAATTAAGATTAAAACAAGCATTTTGCTTTCGTGTACAGACAGTTCAGTAAATTACTAGGAAGTATTTATGGTAACCACCTCCTCGCACGCTACCCTTTGAACTCTCAGGGGGTGCGTCGCGAACGCACTTCGAACGATTGGGTTTTTCTTTCGCTTTCTGTCATTCCACAGAAACGAGCTAATCGATCTTAAGATCTACAAATTTATTAAAAATCTAGCCATTGTATAATAAATTAGGTACAATTATACTTAATAATTTATCGCAATCTGATCTTAATAATATTAGCATAATCACATGATTATGTAATAATACTTTTGCGCGGCATCTAAAGATAATAGTACCGTTTTATCTTTGTCACAGCTTCTTCGTTAAAAACTATAACTCTTATCAATATTTTTATACGTAAATATTTTTATACATAACGTGTATCAAACTGAAGAGTTAGTTTCTGAAATAGGAAGAAGTTCTACCTCTCTCCTTTTTGTTCATCGTCCGAATGATTGACGTCAATGTATTCTCGAAACTGGACTCGCTAATAATTCACACTTTAACACCTTTTTGTCCACAGCTTCGATCCTGTTCGCGTTCTCGGACCAGGCGACGGTGAAAAAGATGATCAAGGCGCTACCGCGAGTTGGCGTTGGTATCAAGTACGGGATATCCCAAACTAGGTAAGCGATAACTGCCTGGAGGAAGGAAGCGCTTCTGTCGTTCTACGGAAAGATCCAAGGATCTCGAAATCTACTTCCAAACATGTTCGTCGCATTCCCTCGTTTCTTTGTCCCTTTCGGTGAGGCAAGCCAGGGACGGATCCGAGGCGCTTCTTTCTACACACACAGATATTTATCATTTCTAGTATATACTTCTACTATAAAAGCACAATGAATAAGAATGAGAGCATATTATAATTAGTCACTATCAACGAATCAAACAAGGAAAAAAAGATGTTTTTTTATTCAATGTGGTATTTTTTATTTAATTATTATTTTTGTAAGGAATAACGTATTATTTATTATATGCATATATATTTTTTTATTATTTTATTATTATATGTAGGTATTACTGAATTATAAACTGAAAGTATATGTTAAAAAAATGAAACTTTGTACAAGCAATAGTGAAATTTTTAGTAGTTTATAATATCCGTCACTAACAATTATTGTATTATTTTTGTTATTTTATTGTATTTTCTTTCTTTATGTGTTCCTTAAAAAAGCAAGTATTTATGGTACTTGAAAAATATAATATAAGCGAGCGTAGGAAAGAGTAAGAACGCAAAATTCGTCCCTGCATGAAGTCCTATGTCTTTCTCGTATTGTAATGTCGTAAGCACCGAAGAGAGATTCTCGCAGGATACGAAGTCTCGTATAAGTCGACAGGAGTTGGCGGCAAGAACAGAGGTTCGCGTATCCGCGCTTCGACCCATCCATTAGAACGTTCCTATATACGAGATAGCCGGTGAGAAGGATACATCGGCCATAAATATACGACGACGAACTCTGACGTTCTTTCTCTCCGACCGATTTGAGAGAGAAAATTCTTGACTAACCGAAATAATTCGTCGGTATATAAAACGCGAATTCGTCGTGACATATCGGAAACATATTCATTGACGAGAAGAGTTCTTTAGTTAAGTTGTTTAATTAGTACATCACATTATTTAACATCTCAAAGAAGTATTACAATCTTTGTTTGATTAATTTTGAATAAACTAATTTAATGAGTTTAAATTTAATGGTAATTTTTAATTGAGGTATTTAGTATTAAAAATTTATATGTTGAAAATGTTGATTTTTTATTCATTAAAAATATTTTTTATAAAAATTTCATATGTTGAATATAAAGCATTCTATACGTTTTCGTAATGTGAATTCGATATGAATTAATTATTTATTATTATATTAATTTAGAAAAAACCCATTTCTCTCTGAAATTGATTTATATATCTATTCTGCAAAATAGTCGAATGTCGAGTAAAAAATTATGATTTTTGATAAACTAACGTGACGTTAATTAACTTGACGCTAACGTAAATAATTACTTTAATGTAGCTATCTCTCACACTAATATCCTCAATCACTGTAATGTAATTTTATTTAGCACAGGATAAATAATTATAAATATTCGCAAAAAATATTTTACGTAAGCGTATAGAAATGTCAAGAATAATTTCTATAAAACTTGCGTGTACGTTTGTATCTTTATTTATTAAAATCTATATCAATAAGTCGATAATATTAAGGAATTTGTTTTTAATATTTTAGTTATGTGGTAATTGATATCTGCCGATTTTTTCATGAATATTAATCTATTTTATAGCTGACACGAATAGAATCTAATTTAAAAATAGAATCCTGATGGTATGCATAATTTATGTATAGACAGTCGTACTTCGTATACTTTAGGCGTATTAATTTTATTATATGGAAAGTACTATATCTACTATGATATATACATATAAATAATATAATATACTATAATATTATATATGAAAATAACGGTTTGCTCTAAAAATTTTAGTTAGATACAGATTTGAAAATAATTTTGTTGAAGGTACCATAATAATTCTGTATACTCAAGCAGATAGAATGTTAAAACTTTTTGCAACATTGCTAATGAATTTTCTACAAATCACTTTTAATATAATCCAACTAATTAAAAAATTCGTTTTTTTTTTCGTTAATCGGCACTTTGCTGGTTGCTGATCGCACTGCAGCACTGGAAGTTTTCATGCTCACATGAAATTTACGCGAGATGAATCCAAGAATTGAATTTATGTGTCCGGTCGTCTTTAATGTCTGAAGGACGCACGCCCGTTAAAGTCTCCCATATAAATCCTAAATCAGCGATCTTTGCGTTCATAAAGAGAGCTTTATGGCGCGAACGTAAAGTGCCGGTGCGCGTCTTGACGTAATTGCTTTTGTAAATTGAGCCGGACCGCCGTCTTAATTGCTTATCAAAGCTATATGTACCGCTCGTTTGATTTGGCAATTAAACCGCGCTGCGCGATGCTGAGAAGTGACATGTTTCGCAATGTGGCCTCCTATCTGGCATGCAATTACATCGTTTTGGCGGCAAACTGTAAGTCGTCCGGGCTTGTTCCGATTATGGGTACTTCGGTGTTGGCATATGTAGCTTCGATACATTTAAACGTATGCATATAGATATTTTATTTCTATATGCCTACACAATTCTTTACACTTTGATTTAACGAGTACAGATATGGACGTTCAGAATATTCGTGACAAAAATAGGTTGAAATGAAATTTTATATTGATGCATGAAATCGTTAATTATATCGTTGGTATAACCGAGAATTGTTGTAATACTGCAAATCTTGAAACGAACAATTTTTTTTCTATAATTTGCAATTAAATTAGATTTTTATTATGTATTTTAATACAAAAATATTTAATTTCTTCTTTTTATATCATTTCTTCTAGTTTTTACTGTTATTGACAAACATCTTAATAATTACATTTTTTATTTTTCTATTATTGGGTACTGAATAGTTATATACTTACTTTAATTAGAGTAAATTAATCGAAAAATAATTTCCTGTAAAGTTGCATTATTTTGTTTTTTGTTGTATCTATCTATCTATCTATATATATATATATATATATATATACACGACTATGTTATGTGGATGATCGATAAATTTCATTTATTTTACAGACGGGCATCCTTGATGTCACCTCGACAATTGATGAGGAACTCCAACATGACTCAAAAGTGGCAGCGTAGGGAAATATCGAATTTTGAATATTTGATGTTCTTGAACACAATTGCTGGTAAGTACTTTTACTTTGTAGATAAATGTAAAACGCGCGATCAAATTTGACCGGTGATCGGCCGATTCCGTTCGGCTATCGATTGGAGGAAGAAGCGCGAAAGTAGCGAAGACACCATAGGCTTTTTTATGGGTGCACACGGGCGGATGGAGTCTGTCGTGGCGCATTAGGGATGTTCTCAATCAGCCCTGTGTTCCGTTAGCTACCCTACGCGAGTAATCCCAACCTTGTGGACCCCGGTAATCCTCTCCCGAGAGACTCGCCACTACCCCTCTTCGCTTCGCGTTGCTGAGGGCGAAATGGCGCGTCTTTGTTTCTCTTTGGTTTTAATATCGGCTCCCTCGTGCGTTCATCGAACCAAATCACGAAACTCGAGACACCACCGGCCTCGTGCGCTTTTTAATGAGACAGTTCGGACGCCTCTTGACGAGTCACGATGTACTTAGCAGGCGCATCTCGATTATCTCGCCGGCTTTTTCATCAAAGCGTATTCCTTTTAATAAGTTATATATGATTCACGGTATTAAACGTTAAAACGGCAAATATAAATATAGCACCGAATAAAATATTATACAATTAATTAACCTTTACAAGACGCGGAAAATCCACTATTCCAAATAGCACATATTATTCTATGAATATTCTACATCGGATATCTTTTCCGAGAATATTTGTATTGAACATTTATAAAATGTTTCTTAAACATTAATATATACGTAGTAGCACTAATCAAATAAATATTAATAAATAGAAATAAGCTTATTATAACAGCATATCTAAAAAATAAAGATTTTAATTAATATAATTTTCTATTGCAAATTTTTTACTTGCAATTGAAAAAAATCTCAGGTGACTATTTCCAGGATAACGGAATGATATACGTATTCCTTTTCTCGGATAACATTTATACGAGATTTAATGATTATACTTATACGCTAAGCATGTTTGCTCATTGTGCTTTTATTATCGTCTGCACGATAGAACAATTTATCTTTAATTTTACGGAAGAAAGAATTTAACGTATACCATTTGTCTTCTTTATTACACGCAAGAAGCTTATATATATATAGAAGAAACAAACGTATCATCAAACGATTCTCTTCACTTGCCGCGAGGTTCATCGATTCCCAAGAGTGATCGATCTCTCGCTGTCCTCTTCTCCCCAGGCCAAGTTCTTTCGATAATAATCGTCGGCGGGCACGATAGTGTTACGGGCGGCACGCCAATCGTCGTTGCGGCAATATTAACCGGCGATCAGCTGCGATTCTTGTAAAATAGTCGGTTAAGAGCTCGCTCAAGCTCGCGTCGTAAGTCATCCCGCCTGTGCGGGATTTATGCGCACCCACGCCCGCGGTCGGCCAGGTTGGCTTAATGACGGCGATGAGCACGGACGCGTAATTATTCGTATTTCGGCGCAGTCCTCCGCGATCCGCCCGGGGGTGGCCGCGGCCGCGTATTTACGAGGGTTATATATTAATTGCTCGAATAAATAGCCGTGGGTACACCGAGGCCGCGCTCTCTGCACGAGAGCAGCGGAACCGCCAACGGAGAGAGAAAGAGAATCAATACGAAAACGAACCGGTCCGCGCCGTGCTGCGCTGCGCCGGTCCGCGCTCCCGCATACGATCAGTCTGCGAGGTTTTATTTTGCTCTCCGTGCGTCGGTTTATTAAAAATTAATGACAGCGAATCCGATGTAAATACGATAGCCCGCACCGGCGCGGCGCGGCGGCGGCAGTGGCGAACCGGCCGCGCGTGTACAGGGCGAATCGTGAAGAGTTCGAAACGGAGACGATCGATAAGTACTTCTCGGGATAAATGTTGTGTGTTTCTTGAATGTCGGATATTTATGTTCACATCTTACATTGTCATACATCCATATAGTTACATTTTGTCGCTGTTTCTGTATTGTTTTTTACAAGAAACGATTTGTAAGACTTTATGTAGACCACACTCTGTGTAAAATGCGTAGCCTGCGGTTACATACTGGTTACAACGCAATCTGATCTTAACTCTTCTCGATATAATTGCTTTAGTCACATCCCGCGGATATCGTGATATTTTAAATCTGTTTACATACTTCGCAATCGTATCTCGCGTATCAACCACGGTCTTGGTCATTAAATATAAAGCACTCTCAATTTATTGCATTTTCTTGAAAAAGGCAGTAATAAATAATTAAAATTATTATAAAAATAAATATTATATTATATATAAATATATTATATATTAATCAATAAAACTGTTTTAATTTATTCTTTGTTAGATATAGATTTCCCAATTTTCCAATTTGTGAGGGGTGTTTTATGTAATATTCAATATATAATTTTAGTCAATAAGTAATTTTAATTTTGCACTTAATAATGAAGATGATAAAAATTATGGTTACTTACTGATTCCCTAATGTACTTTTGATTGAGATTGTATTTGTATTTAATGATAAAGAAAATACAAGATTCGTTATTTAAATATTTATTGAAATTATAAGAAATGTAGGGCATAAATATAACGCGGGATATAATATAGTATATAACGAGACAGATACACATGCACAAAGGGTGTTGATATACGAGTATCTTCGAATTTCTATTATATTTATTTTTCAAAATGTATGTAGTTCGTTTTATATATACACACTGAACTACGGACCTTTCATCCCAGGTAGTTGCCAACAGGTCGTCGCCTTCGTTTGCGATCGTATCTAGGCTGATCTTGCTTTGCAGTGAATTATTGCCGAGGACGCAGCAACAACGTCCGGTAAAGCGACCGACTGTGATCAACCAACTGATCTTATAAACGTTTATAATTATAATGCATAAACGTAGTGTATGTAAACATCGTTCAGTCTGATCGAATAAATGCGCGACGTTCTAATTTTACTCAATTACGTTTCTTAATTATCGTTAAATTACATATTATGTTAAATTTAAAAAATTAGACTTAACTCTCCGAAGTTAATGGCAAAAATCTACGTTAAAAAATCAGATAATTACTCCCGGGTTAAGATTATACGGTGGTACTTTGCATATGTATCTTTTCGATTATCATCTGCGATGTTCTCGTTGTGAATCTACTTACGTCTTCTGTAAATTTTCTTTTAAATGTTCATATTTTTTCTGAAGCAAGGATAAAATTCGGAAGAAAATAAGATCCGATGTCTTTAAGACAAGAGAAAGACGGAAGATACGTGTGTGCGTTGTGTCGCGGACATTCCGCTGTCGAGGCGCGTTCGCCGAGCGTTTACTCACGCCGACGCTACCATTAATAATCACTTTGATGCATAACGCGGCCTCGCTATTATTTACGCACAGCTGTCGCTCGCGCGGCGCCCACGATTTACGATCGTATTGTAGCGACAGTGGGACTTATCCAGCGGCCGGTGCAGTACGACTTTGCCATTGCATTGCTTTTTTTTTACCGAGGGAATTATCCAAAAAACTTCTTGGATACGGTCTTAGTCTAGTAGTTTCTGTCAGTTCACGGTGTCTTTAGCTCGGTAACAAATGTACTGTGTTGATATTTGAAAATGCGCTCTAATAAGAGATAGATTTATTCGCTGTAATAATTAACATTTTGATTGTCAAACTGGTTTCAACATTGAGCTCTGAGAGATTCAAAGTCGAGAAGTGAGCAACTGTTTGTAAAATATCGCTTACGGAAATTTAATACTGGCCAATTTATTATTGAAAGACAACAATTAATTATTTTTATTTAAAGTATTAAAGATACTGAATAGAGAGAGAGAGAGAGAGAGAGAGAGAGAGAGAGAGAGAGAGAGAGAGAGAGAGAGAGTGTGTGTGTGTATGTAGTACTTTCTAACAGTACTTATACTTAAAATAAGTTAATTATTGTCTTTTAATAAATTGACTAGTATTATACTATTATCGCTTATGAAGATTTAATATTGGCCAATTTACTACTTAAAGACAGCAATTAATTATTTATTTGGAGTACTAAAAATACTGAACAGTAGTGCTTTTAAATCTCTCTCTCGTATTTACTTAAAATAAGTTAATTACTATCGTTTGGTAAATTGGCCATTTATTAAATTTCTGTAAAGATGTATTGAGGCAAATTACAAAATAAATCGTTTCATTAATATCATGTTTACTAAAAAAGTATAAATAATTGAAAGAAGTGAATAATTTTAATTAAATAAGAAAAATGCTATATTTAAAGCGGACTTTAGTACTTAAATATTTATATGAAAATTTATATATAATACGAATACATACTTGATTCAGCGTCAAAACCTTTTCTGGTCTTGAAATGCAGTCACGAGTAGAACTAGAGCAATAATATCATTTATTAAATTAATAATCTGTGAAATCGCTATAGCAGGATGTGTAATTAATAGTATGCAAAGACTCTCCGTACTTGCAGTTCGTCATAAACACGAATTTTATTAACTTCTTTTTATTTTATACGAATTTGAATAACTCCTCTCCACTATTTTTCTACGTGCCATCATTTAGTGTAATCTTTTGATTAATTATCTTGTTGATAAGCGTTTATTACCTGCAGGTGCTTACAAATTTAATAATTTTTAATAAGCATCTTTATATGAATATTAATAGTCTGAAATTAACGAGAGAGAATTTTAAATCTGCGAAAAATATTAGCACAGGTGAGATCATACCCCGATCTCCCATATTCCATGCGGGCGTCTCCATCATTCGATCATTAAAGTAAATAAATATAAAAAATTCTATGTTATGCATTATTTATATTGTATTACATATTTAATAATATAATTTTAGCTAGAAAAGTAAAAATATGATTCGCAAACCGAAATAATCTTTTTATAATTAAAACAGATATAAATATACAAACATTTTTTAATGAATAATTTTATTTTTAATAAGTCTAATATATTATTTTTGTTTTTTTTTTTTACAAAAACTATAAAAAAAACTTTATAATTTTCCAGATATCCCTAACACGGCAATCAAAGTAATAAGGGGCAGTTATATATTTTTTAAAAAATATTAAAATCAAACAAATTTTCACCACATATTGTACTACTATTTTGTGTTACATTTGTTAAATAATGCGTTGCATTTGCAGTTTTGCACAAGTCGATTGCTTCGGTGTGTTTAACTAATCTAATCGCGCTTCCGTTGCACGATAATCACGAGTTGAAACATTTCGCGTGCTTTGCCATCGAATAAGGCCGCAAAAGAGAACGAAGTAAACGAAGGAGCGAGGGAGGACGGTGACACACGTGTATCCGTCATGAGAGCGCCGAGTGACAAACTCGCTGACGTGCTTTAATTAGCGACAGGGAAAGAGATTAGAACTCAGCCTTGGGACCGCGCTGCCGTCACTAATGCATTTCAGGATGGGATTTTGTGGGGGACTTGGGCGGGGGGAGAGAGGAACGAGCACGAGTAAGACCTCTGGGAGTGACAATTTCAGGAGCGATTAGCCGTCACGCTCTGAGTTATGCGCTTACTAAACGGCGCGCCGCGCCCCATTGAGCCGCACGGCGCGTTTTTCGTAAAAATAGAATCACGAGCCTATAGCGCGGTCTCGTGGCGGCTTTCGTCGCCCTTAGCTAACAGCAGGGGTGCGAGATGGATAGGAGTGACCGTGGCTAAGACGCAGGGTCAGCGCGAAGAAAAAAGTGGGTCGGCGATTATCCGCATTAAAAACCCAATTGCGATCTCTTTCCGTCTATTCTCAACAGTATATATGAGAAATTTAATTTAAGCACTCACCACCCCTTTTGACTTTCTCGTTCTTTTCTTTATTTGGGATATTAAGCGATGATTTAGGTCATGTTTAACTGATAAAAATTTGTATTATTTTAGGCCGCACGTACAATGACTTGAACCAATATCCTGTATTTCCTTGGGTGTTAACGAACTACGAAACGAAGGAACTCGATCTCAGTTTGCCCAGCAATTACAGAGATTTGTCGAAGGTATAGACTTAGCGAATTTTGTATATATATAACAACGATAGTAATATTCTAATCTCGTTTTCTTGGTTTAAGTTACACTAATTGTGAGAGATCACTTACTATTTAGATAGCAATAACTAAAAAATATGTTATGAAAAAGCTAAAGATTTTTAAGCAGTATGTGTAACTATTATAATGACACAATTGACTATATTTGCATGATTCAAACAACTATATAAATATATAGTTTTCCCAAAAAATAACTGTAAATTTTAATTAAATTATGATAATACAATTTTTTCTCTCCGTGCACATTTGATGTTTCACGTAATACGGCAAGCAACTAAAGAATACTCGTGTATTTCACAGCCAATTGGCGCACTGAATCCAAACAGAAGAGCTTACTTCGAAGAACGCTTCCAAAGCTGGGAACACGACACTATACCACCCTTCCATTATGGCACACATTATTCTACGGCAGCCTTTGTTTTAAATTGGATGATACGCGTGGTAAGTCTCTTATTACTTTGTAAATACGCTTGATGTTCAACTTCGTTTTATCAATTTACGATTGTAAAAAGCACAGGTGGTACTACTTTGTTATGCGATTATTACTATATAAATACCATAAAAATAGAAGTAATTTGACTGATTTATTCGCAAATGCATTCATTAAATAAAAATATTTATTAGCCACGTCGTTTCCTTTATCGAGATTAAATTGAAGTTTAACGTAGGATACGGGACCGGATCTTTATCCATATAATAGGCGTATAATTAGCTTCCAATCGCTGATTTTTCTGTCTTTCCACTTACGGAGCGTGTCCAGTCTGCACCATAAATTTAAACGACACTTTTAGTACTGCATGTACACTAATTTGAGGGCGTCGGAACGCCCTCATGCCAACGACGCCCGCCTTCTCGTTAAATATACACATTTGTTTTCTGCTGCATTTCCTCGTTCACTTGAATTTCAGGGCCTAACTGGAAAATATCTTGATCTCTTTTTTCTGTCTGTCCTTTTTAGACTTAAAGAGTTAATACATATTTATAGTTTGTAAAAAAATTTAAATTTCGCTGTAAATTTTCGAGTGTTATTTTATCATCGATTGTATGTGTTAATCGTATTTTATTTATCACCAGTTTATTAATCATCGTAATAATTCTTATGATATCGCCATTGAATTTACGTAATTGTCCTTAAAGAAACTAAAACATGTTTAAAGTACTATTATTACGTATATTAAAATTCGAAACAATGACGTGGCCCACGTTAATTATTTATTTGCTATCCAACGCATACAATGAAATATTGCATCATGAATAATTTATTCATTTATTATATAATATAATCGCTGTGTTACGCTTTGTTCGTCAAAGATACGATCCGTTTATAGTATTATATTATTCCGGAGTTCTGCCATAAAGGAATAGTTTTAAATCTGGTGTATAACGAGGATTGCATTCCTAGTAAAATGCAAAAATCGGGTTTATGTCCTCGCGTACGTTCGCGTTTGTGCCACGGCACGAAAGTGTATCGATTATGTGTGTGGCCTTTCGCTTTGCGTTCATTCGCCTGTCAACGGAACGGATGACTGACCGAGAAACGAGAAGGACTTCGCAAGAAACCGTGCACACAAAGAACCGCCTATAAAGTGTCTCTAAGTGGCGGTTTAGAGTCGTGCCGCATTTTCTCCGCCCCAACTCACACACTCGTTTCTATGTCTCAGCCTTATAGACATTCTACGGGATTTATGTGCTCCTGTTGTAAAAGGGCTCGACTACATGTTAGATACCAAAGAAGAGCACTAGTAAACCAATCCCTTGAATTAAATAACATTTTGTTATTTTAATTTCCATTTGGGTCAAAATATAAATCAATCCATTTTTGTTAATTTCGAAGTAAACAATATCCAAATTAACTTATGCATTCAATAAATAATAAGCATTTAATAATTTTATAGTTTCTTGAGTTAAATTGGTTAACTTCATTGTTTTAATTAAATTAATATTATATTGAGTAAGAGCAGTGACAATCTAGGGAAATGATTAGGTAAAAAACAACTCAAACTGACAAGAAGTATAATTTATATGAATTTAACAGTGTAGTCGCTATAAAATGATTCTATAAATATAAATCATTCTTACAGGAACCAATGACAACTATGTTCTTGGCTTTACAAGGCGGTAAATTTGATCACCCTAACAGACTATTTTCATCTATCGCGCTCTCGTGGAAGAATTGCCAACGCGATACATCCGACGTTAAGGTTCGTTGCATTTAATTAAGATACTCGTAAAATTTACATTTTTGCCATGCCTCGGTGAATATCCGTTGTTATCATCGCTGCATAAAATTTCAATTTCATTTGATATACTGAAGATCGGGAGAGCTATAAATTCGCTTTTTCCTTAACAGGAGCTGATTCCGGAATTCTTTTTCCTACCGGAAATATTAGTAAATAGCAATCATTACCGTTTGGGCAGGCAAGAGGATGGTAGCTCGGTTGGCGATGTTGAATTACCACCTTGGGCTTCGTCTGCTGAAGAGTTTATACGTATAAATCGAATGGTACAGAATTAATTTTTTTTAAATTAGCACAAAGAGAAAAAATTTGCTGCCAAAGCCAATTCTACGTTATAACGGTAAATTCTGTTTGACTTGGGAATCGCAAATTATTTGCAAATATAATAAATATTTATTCTTTTTCATACTCGTTATAAAAATTATTTGTAACGAATGTAAAATATTTGTTAAATATATGAATTTGTTTGTTATAAATATCAAACAAATTTGATGATTAAATTTTGTAATTTCTTTCGCGTTTGTAGCAAATCTTTCTCTTTGTGAACGTTATAACTTAATATAAATTTTAAATTTTAAAAATCCTAATGTGTCTTCATAAAAATTATTGTTGATAAAAAAGTGACATAAGCAAAAAAATTAGCATTTATTAGATAACAAAAGAAAATCCATTTTAAAGACTAATAAATATATTGTTGTGAAAAAACGACGTATTGCTTATATGGAAAAGTACAAGTCTGACAAGGGATGAAATTTACACAGCTCTATACTGTAAAATTTATACAACAGTATTAAAATTTTTTAAATTTATAACGTAGTTTTGAAAAATATATTATATTTGGAAGTAACATAGAAAATAGTAAAATTATGCATATTTATTATCCTTAATTAAAACATTATTCAAAAATTCAGAAAGAATTTAAAAAATGTTCTACAGGAAGTTGCTAATTTTAACTTGTTAATTTTTATATCAATGCAGCGACATGTCTTGCAATTGATACATTATTTAGTAAATTGTAATTTTCAGGCACTCGAATCCGAATTTGTGTCATGTCAATTACATCAATGGATCGACCTGATATTTGGTTATAAACAGAAAGGTAAGAGCAATTTTAAAACATATACAAAGAAAATAATTTTGCTAAAGTATCTGAAAATTTAAATTTAAAAATAATTTTGTTGTAGCATCAGAATAATTACGTAAGATACTCAGATTGGTTGCTAGAATGTCAAAATATTTTGCAGCATTGTTCATCATGTTAAATTTTCTACATAATTATTTTGATAATTCAACAAAATTATTTTCAGATCTGTATCTAGTTAGGTTTTTCAATGCTTCAAGAAAATTTGTTTTTCATGTATATTTACTATAATTTATAAAAGTTTATGAATTGCGGAATATAAAAATGGTTATATATTTAAATCTATTGAATTTAAATCCGATGAAAAAATAAATATGATTTTTAATCTCTGTGATTATCTGAAATGATAATGTCTTATTAAGATAAGTTTACACCGATTATGAAATTGTGTCGATGACAATTAGGTTCGGACGATAATAGACGAATTAAATTAATAAATGTTCACACAAAAACAAATGGTAGGCGCCGTTCGCGAGCACCCAAGGTTGCGCCTTGGGTGTTGGGACAGAGGCGCAGTCGAGTCAAATTAGATTTCCACCGATGTTAATTGCCGATGGCGCCTCTATATCCGGCGCTTCCTCGAAGATACTGTTTCGGCATCGGACGCGGCAGTGAGGGAAGACATACGAAGGCGCGCGTATGGAAGGAATTAGTTTTTAGTTAGCTTCCTCTCTTTCCCTCTCGGTCTCTGTCCTAACCAATTAAGCACGTGTGCCGAGCGCGACAATGCGTCCCACCCGTAATATGCAACACGTTTACGGTAGCTCAGCAGCCGGTAGCACGAAAGTGGAGTCAGCCGGAAATACCGAGCACAAGCAATCGTCAAGAACGCTCTCGGAGTCATTCTTGAAGAATGCATTATGTCGCACAGCGTGGTGACAACGCACGAAAACAGTATCATAAAATTGCAGGAAAAAATAATGCATTAAAGATCTTCGTATAACATACTTCGGTTATTTTGTTTTTCGTAGGCCCGGAAGCCGTACGTGCAACCAACGTTTTCTACTATTTAACGTACGAGGGTACCGTAGAACTGGATACCATCATAGATCCCTTGATAAGGGAAGCTGTAGAAAACCAAATTAGGAATTTCGGACAGACACCATCGCAGCTCTTAATGGAACCGCATCCTCCGAGAAGCTCCGCGATGCATTTGGTGAGATTATCTTAACACATGAAAATATAATTTTATATGCATGTAATTTTGGAAAAGATTGAGAATATTTGAGAACATCTTTTTAATAATGTAAAAATGGACTATAAGAATCAATGTAATTCTTAGTGCAAGAAAATAATTATAGTGTCGTCCAACATATAATTTAAAATATATAATTATCCGAAGAATACAAACATTATACATCAATATTATAACTTTTTACTCAATAATGTAGTAATTGTTATGCACACATGAAAATTATATTTATATTGTTGAATAGAAAATGAGAATGTGAAGTAATATTATTGTTAATTTGTATTTTGCGGATCTCTCAGAAGTTAATGTTTTGGCTTCACTTAATTTAAGCCATTCCTATTAACATTTTGTTGGTGATATATTGATTGGTGTATATTGAACCGATATTAGGACGATGTTATTCTGAACAACACGTATTGTCTCGAAGATCTCATGATATCTTTTAATCAACTTTTAGACATGTATGTCTCAGAAAACGTCTTTATGGCATCTTTTAAACATATATACTATTTGGGATGTGTTACTAGAGATAATCAATATTAACTAAATACTAAATATTAAAGATAAATGTGTTGTTAGAGATTGTTTGTGAAAAATAATATGAAATGATAGAAGTTGCAATATTTTTTTAGTCGCCAATGATGTTCTCGAGCATTCCGGAAGATGTGTGCATGACTATCAAGTTTCCGTCTAACTCGCCGATTTGTCACATCTCGGCTAACACTTACCCTCAACTGCCACTGCCATCGGTTGTGACGGTAACCACCGGACAGCAATTTGCTGTTAATCGGTGGAATACCAATTATGCAGGTAAAGTAATTTTCTACACGCACTCCGGCACTTGAATTTATCTTCATTGCCTCGTTGTTATCGTAATTTTAATCTTTTGTAGCCTCAGTGCAATCTCCGAGTTATGCAGATACACCACAGGCGCAGGCTGCCAATCAGCCATTATCCATGGATCCTGTTCTTTGTAAGTATGCGTACACACACATATACAGATGAAGTACCATTTTCAAGATGTCTCTTCGAGATGTGCGTACTAATTAACGAAGCCGCGCTGTATATTTTTAGCTCAAGCGGCAAACAGCTCAAATCCAACGTTACAACGTCGACATCTAGGCGACAATTTTAGTCAGAAACTCAAAATTCGCAGCAATTGTTTTGTTACTACTGTGGACAGCCGATTTTTAGTGGCCTGCGGATTTTGGGACAATAGCTTCCGCGTTTTCTCCACTGAGACAGGTAAGTTTTAATATTTCACAATTAGTTACTCTATAATATAACGAATATTATAAATACACATGACAAATTTAACATATTTCGCGTGTCTTAAACAGACTATTAACATTTTTTTATTAATTTATTATAATACAAGATAAATATGTTAAAAAGTAATGCAAATATTACATTTAAAAAAATTAATAGAAAATATGTTACGTTATTATAATTTGTAAACAAATTGTGAAAGCATATTTTCTCTATAAAATTAATACGATATTTATACTATATTAAATTAATATATTGTACTCATTTATCTTAGAATTTTTGTTTTAAAATACATTATTTTTATGTTAATTATTTATAAATTGTGTTATTTTAACACTCAAAATGTTTTGAGTATCAATTTAATGCAAAATATTCAAATAATACAATCACATTATGTTAAATTAATACTTCGATATATTAAAAATTCAACACAAAATTTTTTATTGTAAGTGTGGATACGCAATGATTATATGCTTCTTCACGAGGTAAAACTTTATAAAAAAAAGAAATTATTGTTTGCAGCAAAAATCGTCCAGATAGTATTCGGTCATTACGGAGTCGTTACTTGCTTGTCGCGTAGCGAGTGTAACATTACTTCCGACTGCTACATTGCATCCGGAAGTGCTGACTGCACTGTCCTCCTTTGGCATTGGAACGCAAGAACACAAACTATCGTTGGTGAGGGTGAAGCACCGGCGCCACGTGCTACCCTTACAGGTCACGAACAGCCTGTGACAGCCGTCGTCATATCCGCCGAATTGGGTTTGGTTGTCTCAGGATCGCATTGTACGTATTATATAAGTTGAAAAAAAATGAATCTGAGGAGAAAGTATAAAAAAAACGCTTTGTTCTGTAACTATAATAATTAGATATATTGTTTGAATAAATGACACCTGATTTTGAAATAAGTTAATGATTGATTATAAATAATTTGATGTTACAGACGGTCCGGTACTCGTTCACACTACTTTTGGTGACCTTCTAAGGTCGCTCGAGGCGCCGAATGGATTTTCGTCTCCTGAAAACATCTCTATGTCACGCGAGGGCGTCATCGTAGTAAACTATGAACGTGGGCATATAGCGGCTTTCACCATAAATGGAAAACGTCTTCGTCACGAGTCTCATAATGATAATTTACAGGTAAACATCTGATTAAGTAACTAATTTTTCGATCATTTATATTTCCAGGCATATTTAGCTAAGGAGTTAAAGCTGGAACTCTAAGAATCAGGGCATTATAATTAAAAAAAAAAAGCAAATTACGTATTATTTATAATAAATTAATCGCGTGCGGTGGTGTACTTTTGACACTGTTACCTTTTTAAGATATATCATAATCAATGATATGATAAATCTTTAAGTAGGTGATTTAAAAATACGCTAGTTAATGAGTAGAATGCAAATTTTATAAATACGTTAAATCCTATATATATCGTATGTCAATACCGTTAATTTATTTCTAGTATTACAATATTTGTAGGACCGTTGGAATTTCAAACAATAATTGAATATTTATTTCTAGTGCTTACTACTGAGCAGAGACGGCGAGTATTTGATGACTGGAGGTGACAAAGGTATCGTTGAAGTTTGGCGAACCTTCAACCTTGCCCTACTTTATGCATTTCCCGCATGCGAAAGCAGCGTGCGATCCCTTGCACTCGCTCATGATCAAAAGTAAGTAAAATTTATATAAATATCTTTTTCAAAAATTTTTTTAGTCTTTAACCATGAAATAATATTTGCATATAATGTCAGGAGTCCACTTTAAAATTACATTGCTCTGAACATAAAGATCATAAACATGAATCATAAATATATTCTGTTTTTTATAGGTTTCTTCTAGCTGGTCTGGCAAACGGGTCCATTGTGATATTCCACATCGACTTTAACAGATGGCATCACGAGTTCCAGCAGCGTTACTGAAATTACGACTTCCTATTCGCCTAAGAAGGCAGGGCGCACCTCATAAAACAAACTTTTGCGCTTAACTTTCCAAATAGTACATCTTCGAATTTACATGTATTTTCTCGGACAAACGGTGCTTCGTTTGTTCAATTTTTTGTGGATCACTCACGAGTGTGTCGAATGTACGGGGAAGCCATAGTATTTGCGCGACATTTGTACGGGTCAGCTTCTCGTCTCAGACTATTCTTAGATTCGCAGCAAATTTATGGTATATAAAATATATTCAATCAATCGAATTAGGTGCAATGAGCGGCAATGAAATAAATATGGTGCACTGCAAATTTTGACGTTCAGCAATAAACTCGCTTACATAGCTGCGTGCAGTGCTTCCGTGAGAGAGGAGGTCGAGCGTGATACAAAGGGCGAGGTGCAATCAGAGTTCCGGCTGTTTATCCCGCGTAATTGCCGAGTGGACGTCAAACCATGTCGCATGCTTGTAAAAGCGCGAAAATTATAGGTACTACGTACCGCTCGAAAACGCTAGTCAATTAATGAAGACTCGGATCTATCTACGTTCGCGAGTGTTCGCGCGATTTCTTCTCACGCGGTGCGGAGAAAAAGGTATGCTATAACGGGGAAAGGCGATAAGCGCCAAAGAAAGAAACCGCGTCGACGAGACGACGGAGCTGAACATACGTTATTTTTATGCCTGGAACTGCACGTGGATTTGGCCCACGACACTCTAGCGTTAAATGTCCAATTGTAAATACAGAATATGTAATTCTTCACGTTATACATATATACATACACACGCGCTTTATTCCCTATATTAGAGGGGCCAAGGAAGTGAAAGGCGTGCATTATCGCGAGAGGTTTTTCATTCTATTCTTCTCAGACGTCGCTCACGTCGAACCTTTTGGCTACGCACTTTGTACGTTCAGTTTGAACTACACGCACGCAAACGCACTACTGCTGCGTAAATCACTGGTACCGCGGTAGCACCGGTAGATGCTGTGCGGTAAACACATCGCTAATCATTCTCTCGACCGCGGTATCAATCCTCTACCCCTCACTCCCCACCGCCGCCGCAACACTTTCTACACCCTGATGTTCGCGTCCTTCGAAAGAGATCCTAATTTTTATCAAAGCCGTCCAGCTTAACTTTTGCGAGGATATTTCTTAGTATTTTCGCACGCGACGTATATTAATCAGCAAGCAAGTTATTTAGGCTAAAGTAACATCCCGAATTCATCCTTAACATTCCGCGAATTGTCAAGGATCGTGTTTATGTGTGAATGCGTTGTTGGTGATCCTAGGATGGTCGAGTGACGATAGAGTAGGATATATGAGAGATGAAAGAGAGAGAGAGAAAGAGAGAAAACGTTAAATATGAGAGTGAGAGAATGAAGAAAAAAAAAGCAGACGTACACCTTAACAGCTAACAACGATGGGGAAGAAGATGCTTGATCACGCATAAGCGGTAGAATTACTAGCTTGATTTCCGTTCGTACGCCATCGTAGAACATGTGATCGATAGTCTTGTAGTATTACTACAGAGTACTATTGTCATTTTGAGCCTTGTGTATTTCACGAGCTAGTCGTAGACACAAGACGCCGCATAAGTATAGCCTTCAGTTGTTTGTACGTATTCCGGATGTAGCATATTGTCGTCAACTTGATTTTAATCATGTGTAACGAGTAATTACTTAATGTATCTAAGAAGACAGAGGGATGGGGAAACCGTTTTGTTGTCATTGCTTCATAGTCATATGACAATGACAGATGCATTTCCGTGGTCGCCAGGACAGTTATCGCAAAATCTTCGAAAGAATGAAGATGTAAGGACGCGGAGATGAGAAAACACGGAAAGAAAATGAGAGGACATAAACATAAGTCATTCGAGGTAAATCGCGGATTTTAATTGGCCGTCGCGATTTAATAAAACGTTGTGATTTTATAATACATCATATTACAATTCGCTTTTGCATTTATTATTTGCTTTGCTTAAAATAAAATAAATGAAGTTTTTAATTTTAGTAAATGACGTCAATTAGCTAAAAAGTGATCTGGAAGAAACTCCGGAATATTAGCGCTCGAGTAGTTGTCAAAAGTCTTTTTAAAACGCACATTTTTCATAATTTTTTTTACAATAAATTTTGACATTTTAAACAACTTTACCGATTAACATTGTTTGGTGCTTGGTACGATAGCAAAGATAGATTTCCCCATACCTCGATATGTGTTCTAGTCAAGAATTACCGTCGAATCGCTGTCGTGAATCACTTGCGATCCTCAGCATTTAGATATCGATACATTTAAAAAGATATGCCGTACCGTTTACGTGTAGTTGTATAAAGTAAATGCATAATGCCGTCGTTCTAGCAATCAATCACTTTGGGCTTGCGAGATCACGTTAGCGTTACGGTCGTAATATCAATTCTTGCTGTGCACCGAACGATCAGGCGAACGACCCTCGTGAACTGATCATCGGTAATCGTACAATTTTTAAATGTATAGGAGAATGTTACGTGTGCAACGTGTTAATAATGGTGTATTGCCACTCGTTATGGGCGTGCTTCTGCATGATCGTTCGTGTCGTTTTGTTTGCGAGGAAAAATGAAGGCATGAATGGCAGAGAAAGGATGAAGAAGAGTGGGATGATACGGGTGAAACGCCGAAGGGTTGAGGGTTGTGTCTGAGTGCTTTCAATACAATATCGCTAATTTTCTTACATATGAAAACGAATTTTTGTGTCACGCGTGTAAATGTTTACGTGTGTACTCGATGTATAGGCGCACTATCGACACATTATTTTCGCTACGGTGAGAGAGAAACATGGGAAAGAGAAAACGAAAAAAAGAAACGCACGACATTCCATCTGCATTTCCTGCTTTTAGCCGATTTATATACAATATATATACAAAAAAACTGCATTTGTTTATCTAGCTATCTAGATTGATTGGATTGAAGAAGGAACATAATTGGCAAATAGCTCCTTGTTCATAAAATCATCAAGTTAGAAAGATATGTAGTTGAATTGCGAGATAATGGAGATAATTTTGACGACGCGTGGTAGCACGTGTTTTTGCAATTATTCAGTAGGCGCAAAGGCAGCGTAATGGATGAGAATGCATCAGGATGACAAGAGGTCACATAAGAGAGAAGAGTTTTTATATTTGTTTATAGATGTGTGAGAATGTGCTGCACTCTTTAAGCAAGTTGTTAGTGAATTCCCTCCATATTGCTAATATACATAAAGGAAGTTAACTCAGATCGATTTCTGTCCGTACTTGAACATTCAGTACATAAAAAAATATTGCTACTATTTTAAATAACGCTAAGTACAACGCTACAAGAGTTTGCCTATATTATTATTACGATTACGATTTATTGTCATTATTATTAATATTATTATTATTATACGATTGTGGCTACACATTAATATACTTAATATTGACGGCTACCTATATAGGAGCATAGATTTGTATATTCATCGGATAAGGCCCTTAATGTTTGCGTGTTAAGTGATAATTTTAATTATCGACATTACGATTATGAGGAGAAGAACGTAATAAGAACTATGTAAAGTTTTATCCGGTTCCGGTTCATTCACGCCGCGCGAGCTGCCCGTAGAGAAGTACTACATCTATAGATTAATTGACGCGTCTGTTTATAAAAGTAATCACGGGCGGAAACAGAAAAGAAACAACAACGCTGCAAAACACGCGGCTATAACACTCAAGCGCTTACTTTATTAGGCTCACGTTTATCTACTTAAAGACCTGGTTTAAAGTCTCTCAAAGTTTTACTTAAAAGCTACGCGGAAGAGAAAGTCAACGTAAAACTTGTAACGGGAAAGCTCAACGGAATGTGAATCGAGTCTATAACGAAAAAGTTTCGTAGCTTATCGAAAGCTTTCGTCGACGTGTATGATCGGTTTTTTTTTACATCTACATACGAAAGTCAATATACACGTAGCCGTAAAGTTGAAGCAGTCTCGATCGCGCAGGGATCTCTCAAGGGAGCTCGTCGAGCAACGTTTGCACCAATGTTTTATAAGCACTGACTCATTCTTTTTCCTACTTCGATCTGACGCGACCCGATCTTCGTGCGCGAATCATAGTCGAGCTCTTCCAATTTACGGATCATTGTTAATCACGCGATTACATCTCGTCAGGATCGAGCCTCCCACCGATTGCGGGTGTCTTCGATGAACATTTTCGTCATTTCTTGAATTGAAGCAATTGTAGACAGGCACACGCGTACACACGAGAGAAAGAGAGAGTACGATCAAACGTTGTGTTCCGCGAACAAAATTTAATTAGTGGCCTAATTGTTTTGCCGGCGGTGTTAAAGCGCGCCCGTGAGCGGTTCGACGCTCGATCGGTGGATGTAGGACGGCCGGGCACACCATCGAAAGATTCTCTCGACAATTGTCTCGTATTAATTTCCGGCGAAGCCAAACCGTAATCACGGGCACCTCGTCATTGACAGGAGATACGCGGTACAGATTAATTCCCGCCACTTTTAAGAAGTACTACTAGATAGAAAGGTACTTAAGTCGTTGCTACATACCAGTATATATAAGCTCTATCGCTTATTTTATACTTAGAAGTATTGTAATGTTCGATTAGAAGATAACATAATGGGAAAGTTGTATCTTAGCATAAGGTAGAATAATCTGTAAAGATAAGTAGTCAAATAAATGAAAAGTACATTTGATGTTGCAGACGATCTTTTTTCTTTATAGTTTGGACTTCGACTAACAATAAAATTTGACATATTTTAAGCAATACGTTATAAAAAAATATAAAAGCAGATTTAAAACCACAACCTTCCACCGGCAACAAGGGGTCTTTGATGATATTCTTATAATTATCAATTCTAATATAATTTGGAACAATAAAGAAAATCTGCTCTGTTTTCGAAGACTGCTGGCCGACGGAAGAGATAAAATTCCATATTGCCGGCAGAGGATTAAATATAATTCTCGCTGTATTGGAATTGGTATAAACACCATCACAGTAAGAGTTATATAAACACCGCATTGTGTTAAATCTACATATATATTTTTCAGAATATAGAGAGGATACTGCAATTGAACAGGTAAAATTAAAACGTGTAAATCTCTTCTTTGTTATCTATTTATTTATGTTATTCACGATCATAACAGGGAGCACTGGGTGTACTCAAATGTACAATATAGATATGTATTCGTTAGAAAAGTATACACATCGTCCATATTGATATTATTGTTATTTGTCTATAAATTAATTATGTACGATCGCTTTCATAATTAGAGTAGATATTAAAACAAAGTACTCATCCTTTTTTCGACAGTTACAATACGTACTAACACAATTTTTAATGTACACTCATTTGCATAATATATTTTATCTCGTTTATATATTCATAAATATACACATCCAAGATTTATATATTCATATTTTATAATCCAGTACGCAGTCCATTTACATCTCAAAAAACCGATGTTTTATCATTCATGAATTAGTGACCCAGTATTCGAGATAGAAAAGAGGAACGTTTAAATTTTTTACTGATACACATGTAATAAAAAAAACTGAAAGCTTACTTTAGCATTCTCGAGTGCATCCTGATTTAAATAATTTTGTATCAACGCTAATGGGGAAATCACATTTTGCGTCGCGTTTTTGTGTGTAAGTATAGGTTCTATACTTACATAAAAAATTCATTTAAATACTACTCTCAGTATGGAGCGACTGTTCCATTTATTACATAAAGTTATTTGAGAAAGCTCAGTTCTGTGGTAGAATGTCCCACTTGTACGAAAAATCAGTAGTTTTTTTTTGCTATGGGCATCGCTGGAACAACGAAATAGATAGAAAACTCTCGAGGATTTAAAAAGTTGTTTCTCACGCTTTACAGACGAAAAAAGACATACAGTCGAAATATATTGACTTCAAATAGGGGAATACTTTAAGATTATTACAGCATGCTGACTCTGAAGTTTCTATATCAAACATGTGATTAGAACGTACTACTTTTAATCACACTACTTTATAACAATAGTTACTTTGTTGGCACATTTTCCGCTAGTCAATTGTCACTCAGATATCACCTCAGCTTTGATATCATATTCGATTATCTATGGTATGCGTAATATAACTCTATATATGTATAGCTTACTTACATTTTTGTGGCGCAATTACCATTTCTTCACGCGATTGACAAGGGCTTAAGAAATTTTAAATCACAGAAAAATTTTAACAAAAATAAGAGGACGTAAATGCATTTAAAAACATTTTGTCATCGCATTTTCATTTCACTTCTTACAAAATATTTGAAAATACTCCATTCGTCATCTATTTTCCAGAAACGCCCATATTTCTTTGGTACTTAAATTCTTTCCATGCATTCTGTGTAAATGTCACCAGATATATTCTTAGAAATACGTGAATAAAACAGAATTCACAAAAACTTGTTAAAGACATTCGTAAATTTGGCCAGGCACAACTCATCAAAAAATCAAACAGTTTTCTCGTTGAAAATTTACAGTAAATCTCATATTTTCACGATATTACGAACATATTTTTAAATGCATGGCATGCACATAAAATGATACATTCGTAATTTATTAAATATAATAAAAGGACTGCTTGCTCTTCTTTTCTATTATTATATAATTAACTTACACGATGTGTATCATTATTTATTATCAAGTTCACAATTGAGTAGACGCGTTATAGTTGCAAACGTACATATGTGTACGAAGCAACTACTGATATAGTACACGGTCGCTACGTATGTTACCTGTACGTATATGTGTGTCAGTATGCGTATGCGTTTTCAGATACATTATCACAAACAGTGCCCGTTTAATTGTATCGAGCCTTTATGTTTAAACATATATCACGTTAATAGAACATTTGCGCAGAAGTGGTAGCGAGCGTGAAATAATAAACGACGTATAGATCCAACGCTATTTGTACTACCTTAAACATGTATCATA